AATCTCTTCCTCACAGTGGTGCAGACTTCTTACAGTCTTGTTTATTTAGGTAATCTCTTCCTCACTGTGGTGCAGGCTTCTTAGTCTTGTTTATTTAGGTAATCTCTTCCTCACTGTGGTGCAGGCTTCTTAAGTCTTGTTTATTTAGGTAATCTCTTCCTCACTGTGGTACAGGCTTCTTACAGTCTTGTTTATTTAGGTAATCTCTTCCTCACTGTGGTGCAGGCTTCTTATAGTCTTGTTTATTTAGGTAATCTCTTCCTCACTGTGGTGCAGGCTTCTTAAAGTCTTGTTTACTTAGGTAATATCTTCCTCACTGTGGTGCAGACTTCTTACAGTCTTGTTTATTTAGATAATCTCTTCCTCACTGTAGTGCAGACTTCCTAAGTCTTGTTTATTTAGGTAATCTCTTCCTCACTGTGGTGCAGACTTCTTACAGTCTTGTTTATTTAGGTAATCTCTTCCTCACTGTGGTGCAGACTTCTTAAGTCTTGTTTATTTAGGTAACCTCTTCCTCACTGTGGTGCAGACTTCTTACAGTCTTGTTTATTTAGGTAATCTCTTCCTCACTGTGGTGCAGACTTCTTACAGTCTTGTTTTTTTAGGTAATCTCTTCCTCACTGTGGTGCAGGCTTTTTACAATCTATTTTTTTAAGTAATATCTTCCTCACTGTGGTGCAGGCTTCTTACAGTCTTGTTTATTTAGGTAATCTCTTCCTCACTGTGGTGCAGACTTCTAACAGTCTTGTTTATTTAAGTAATCTCTTCCTCACTGTGGTGCAGGCTTCTTACAGTCTTGTTTATTTAGGTAATCTCTTCCTCACTGTGGTGCAGGCTTCTTACAGTCTTGTTTATTTAGGTAATCTCTTCCTCACTGTGGTGCAGGCTTCTTACAGTCTATTTTTTATGTAATCTCTTCCTCACTGTGGTGCAGACTTCTTACAGACTTGTTTATTTAGATAATCTCTTCCTCACTGTGGTGCAGGCTTCTTACAGTCTTGTTTATTTAGGTAATCTCTTCCTCACTGTGGAGCAGGCTTCTTACAGTCTTGTTTATTGAGGTAATCTCTTCCTCATTGTGGAGCAGGCTTCTTACAGTCTTGTTTATTTAGGTAATCTCTTCCTCAGTGTGGTGCAGACTTCTTAAGTCTTGTTTATTTAGGTAATCTCTTCCTCACTGTGGTGCAGGCTTCTTACAGTCTTGTTTATTTAGGTAATCTCTTCCTCACTGTGGTGCAGGCTTCTTACAGTCTATTTTTTATGTAATCTCTTCCTCACTGTGGTGCAGACTTCTTACAGTCTTGTTTATTTAGGTAATCTCTTCCTCACTGTGGTGCAGGCTTCTTACAGTCTTTTTTTTATTGAGGTAATCTCTTCCTCACTGTGGTGCAGATTTCTTACAGTCTTGTTTATTTAGGTAATCTCTTCCTCACTGTGGTGCAGGCTTTTTACAATCTTGTTTATTTAGGTAATCTCTTCCTCACTGGCGTGCAGGCTTTTTACAATCTATTTTTTTTAGGTAATCTTTCCTCACTGTGGTGCAGGCTTCTTACAGTCTTGTTTTTTTAGGTAATCTCTTCCTCATTGTGGTGCAGGCTTCTTACAGTCATGTTTATTTAGGTAATCTCTTCCTCACTGTGGTGCAGACTTCTTACAGTCTTGTTTTTTTTAGGTAATCTCTTCCTCACTGTGGTGCAGACTTCTTAAGTCTTGTTTATTTAGGTAATATCTTCCTCACTGTGGTGCAGGCTTCTTAGTCTTGTTTATTGAGGTAATCTCTTCCTCACTGTGGTGCAGGCTTCTTACAGTCTTGTTTATTTAGGTAATCTCTTCCTCACTGTGGTACAGGCTTCTTACAGTCATGTTTATTTAGGTAATCTCTTCCTCACTGTGGTGCAGGCTTTTTACAATCTATTTTTTTATGTAATCTCTTCCTCACTGTGGTGCAGGCTTCTTACAGCCTTGTTTTTTTTAGGTAATCTCTTCCTCACTGTGGTGCAGGCTTCTTACAGTCATGTTTATTTAGGTAATTTCTTCCTCACTGTGGTGCAGACTTCTTACAGACTTGTTTATTTAGGTAATCTCTTCCTCACTGTGGTGCAGGCTTCTTACAGTCTTGTTTATTTAGGTAATCTCTTCCTCACTGTGGTGCAGGCTTCTTACAGTCTTGTTTATTGAGGTAATCTCTTCCTCATTGTGGTGCAGGCTTCTTACAGTCTTGTTTATTTAGGTAATCTTTTCCTCAGTGTGGTGCAGACTTCTTAAGTCTTGTTTATTTAGGTAATCTCTTCCTCACTGTGGTGCAGGCTTTTTACAATCTATTTTTTTTAGGTAATCTCTTCCTCACTGTGGTGCAGGCTTCTTACAGTCTTGTTTTTTTAGGTAATCTCTTCCTCACTGTGGTGCAGGCTTCTTACAGTCATGTTTATTTAGGCAATCTCTTCCTCACTGTGGTGCAGGCTTCTTACAGTCTTGTTTATTTAGGTAATCTCTTCCTCACTGTGGTGCAGGCTTCTTACAGTCTTGTCTATTTAGGAGATCTCTTCCTCACTTTGGTGCAAGCTTTTTACAGTCTGGTTTATCTAGGTAATCTCTTGGTCACTGTGGTGCAGGCCTATTGCAGTTTTGTTTATCTGGTTAATCTCTTCATATTTTGGAGTTAATTAGGAGTTTTGGTATTGTCTTTAAATTTAGTTTGGGTTTTTATTGTTTTTTTTTGGTATTGTCTTGAACTAAATTTATTTTTTTAAATGGGTTAATACTATCTTTTGATTTCATTCTTTGGTTCATATATACCATATGTACTCACTTATAAAATGAGTCCAGCTGCAAACTACACAGACTCAGACCTGCTGGCACATTATGTGCTGGGAAATCTGGGTCTATGCAGTTTGTTAGGAATAACCAGTAGAACAAATAGCATAGACTCTGATCTGCAGGCACATTATGCTATGGCAGATCTGGATCTTTGTTGTTTGCAGTTTGTCCCAACATATAAGCAATTAATTACGGTGTCCTTTACTTACCTAATTAAAAGCGCCAAAGTCACACACAGGATGAGTGTTATTGTAGCTAATTGTGCTGTTCTTATGCTATATTTGAAGTGAATAAGAAATTTGTGGACTTGACCCATTAACCTATGGACAGAATATATAAATATTTCTTGTACCATATTAATCATGCAGTTAATAATTGCTAACCTATATGTACACATGATCTTCAATATATAATTGTACATTATTTATAATAGATTGATCTCATTATTGCTATCCAGTTTTCAATGATTGCACTATTTTTACTAGAACTATGAATTTCATATAAAATGCTTGAACAGCAATTATGGATATTTTTCCTTCTTGAATCTGCTGATTTTGGCATTGAAAATAATGGAATCCACCTGTCCTGATAGTTTTTGTTGGCAGGTGTGGTCTGTCTCATAAGACAGATTTTATCACATATAATGTGTCCCCCTATGGAAACTTTTATAATTTGTGCTTTAATTCTTTGATTCAGTTTTACATGCAGTATTCCATTTTGTAATTCAATGTGGTTTTAGATATGATATGCAAAATGCATGCTCAAGTAAGTAATGTTTCCTTCAAAATATTTGCTCTTCCCCTACCATGTTATAATTTGGTGAATCTGATTTTCCCAAAATAAAGCTTTGCAAGGAAGGCATTCACATGATTTGTTGAAGATCATGCCTTGAGGTGTTACAGTTGTTATAATGATGCAGATATTCAGTCCACTGTCTATAACTAGCATATTGATGCACTGAATTTATGACTAAATTCATAATCACTGGCAATTTTCTTTAAATCTTTGTATAACAGCATTGCAATATGTTATTAATATGAACCATTGTAATTGGAATGTACTGATAGAATGCACAACATTATTTGTGATGGAGGTATAATAAATCCAAGAAATGAAAGTAGCTATAAATTTTTTCATCCTTCTCAATGTCTAAACTAGCTTAGGAGATGTTTTTGTGGGGATACCTTGGTGAAATGTCATATCTGAGAATACTTGACTACATCTTTTCAAGACCATTTGTTTAAAATGCAGGTGTGACAGCATACATAAGAGTACTTACTATTGATAAATTTTGTAAGTGCTCTGTGTTTTCCTTAAATGCCAGGTAAATCCTTAGCTGTATGAAGCTACTTGCAGTGTATTTATTTGTTTATTTGTTTGATTTTTAACCAGACATCAACACATGTTAAGATATATCATTTAAATAACACATGTTAAGATATATCATTTTGAGGCAATTGGAGTGAATACCTTACCAAGGAACAGGCACTGATGACTGACCTTGCCTGGTCATGGCAGGATTTCAACCTACACACATCTGATCAGAGTTAGACACACTAACCATTAAGTCAGCATGGTTCCAACAGATTTATTATTTAATATTAAATTCTTAAAATGCTTTCAGCGTTAGATGAAATAAATAGTCATCAATAAAAGTATTCTCTTCCCCATTCCCACACCCGTTTTCAAGTAGGGACAAGTAATACTAATTCAGTAATTCTGTCTTGTAAAATTGTAAGAATTCTGGTATAAATTTGTAATTTGTGTTTGTTATTTCATCTTAAAGCATTTTTATCACTGTTAATAAGAAAAGTTTGTGTTTCTGATAATATGGTACTTTCTGCATGTAGCTTTTCTGGTTATTTGATGTTGAAAGGTCAGTTTTAAGAAATGTTAAGGGAGATAATCCTGACTGGAAATGATAAGAATGGTTACATTCCTTGTGAGGTGGTGTTTGTGATTTTTAACGTAGCTTTAACAATTTTTCAGTCATATCGCTACGATGTCTGCAGTGGCAGTTTATAGTGATGTCTAGCACTGAAGCATCATGCCGCAGACATGTAGCATGATGTCCTACCCAGTCACATTATCCTGAGACCAGGCCGACCAGTCCTAACACTAACCCCTTAATGCTGAGCGTCAAGCGAGGCAGCTGTTAGTACCATTTTTGTAAGTCTTTGTTATGACTATACTGGGGATCGAACCCACGACCTCCCACATCCAAGGCGGATGCTCTAACCACAAGGCCACCGGAGCAATTTGTACTTTTGTTGTTTAGAACTTCACACAATACAGAATCATTTTGATAGAAAATACTTGTCAAAAGCAATATGCTAATGTTTTTCTCAAAATACTTAATGAATTTAAAATAAACAATATGTATAGAGATAAAGAGAAGAAAGATAAAAAGACACCACATATTATTAAGATTATATGTGTTTGGGGCCAATTAAGGTGGGTATGTGAGAAAACTTGCCAATAGCTACTGTTGGGTTGGTGTTTCTTATTTGGGATCTTTGTCAACCAGATATACTGGATTCCATGTATTGCCTATCTTATGCAGAAAAATGATGTTTGACACATAACAACAGCAACATGTATTGATAGATTGCTCATGGTCATAAAAAGAACAAGGTTATCAGAATCTTGAAAGTTATCAAGTTCTATTTTTTGACCTTTTTTAATTTTATATTGTCTTATTCCTCCAAACCATCAGTATTCTCAATACTTTGATCAATTTTAAGAGCCTAGTAATAACTAATACAAAATTCTGTAATGCCTGTCAATTTTTCTTAAAGTACCATCCAAACTTTCTCTCTCTCTCTCTCTCTCTCTCTCTCTCTCTCTCTCTCTCTCTCTCTCTCTCTCTCTCTCTCTCTCTCTCACACACACACACACACACACACACACACACACTTTTTTAATATTAAAAGCTTTTAAGTTAGATCATATATCATATTAATTTATACATTTAAAATCAGAAACATGACTACCTATGGTTCAATTGGTAGGAGATGCATCATAAGATTAAGCACCAAGGGATTGATAAATGCAACAGGTGCTTGATACTTAACATATTATCATCCTTGTGGGAGTCATAGCCAACACAATGCTGCCAACAGGTGGTTTGTTTAATAAAACTTTGCAATTTAGGGGTTTGCCAGTGCTAAAAGGTTTGGACAGTAGATTATTAATTACATAGCAAGCACATGGAATAGTATATGTAATTCTACTTATGTCCTTGAACAGGATCTGGTAGTTCATATTTTGGCTATCATCACTGTTGACATATTAGTCCAGGAAGTACACCCTCCATCTCAGGAGAGGTTGTGGAAGTTAACAAAATTGCCCTACTTACTTATTTTAAACTTTGTTAAAAGTATAGAAGGTTTTACTATTGGTCAAAAATTGGACATGGATTTGGCAAAGTAACTCCCATACCCACAGTAATGATTGAAATGAAGACCCAATTTCATATGCTTGGCAGTTAAGGTTACACTGATATATAGCATAAGCAGAATTCCTTTAATCAAAAGGCATGGGAATGGGTGTAGGACAAAATACCCCTTCAGCAAAATGAAAGAACATACTCCCCTCCCCTAGTCTTAAGTTTTTAAACATTTTTAAACAATCACAAATATACTGCCCTAAATTGGTTATGGGAAAAAAGAATTGTGAAATATCTTAAATTTATCTCATTTAATTTTTATTAAGGAATTTCTTGTTTTTCCAGTAAAATTTTGTCTTAGCTCTAAAGTATTACCCCAAATATAGCAATAATTATCATATTCAATAAACTTAGTACTTATGACAGTGAGGTGACATGCACATTTACCATTATTTTCAGATCAAAACAATCAATAGGCAACTTAATCTCCTTGTATTAAAGATCAGATATCTAAAATGCACACAGTGTCTTTTATTGATTAAAGGTAAGCTGACAACAAATTTAAAACGACCAAGCAGACACACAAAGATATATATTTGTGATGGTTTAGAAAAGTTAAACTTAGGCTTGGAGAGGTAATTAGGTCCCTTTTATATGGCTGTGGTTTTTTTTGTCAATGCAGGATTCTGACCAAGGAGATTTTGTCTGTACCTCACAGGCATCACCTCCAAGGACTGTCCATTTTGATGGCCAGTTGGATCAATCCATCAATTCTTGACCTATGTAACTAGCTCAGTGTCAACCATTCTGCTGTTTTTGATTAGATGCAGCTAAAAGAATTTGATCCAATGGGATTGCACCTTACATTTACCTGCTAATTGTGGTGGTCTCAGCTCACAGCATGTTAGTTTCTCATATTCAGATCTTTAACATGGAACTTTCTTCTTCAGTTCTTTCTGGCATCAGTGAAGTTGCCATATTGAATATCTAACAAATCATGTAATATGCTGCCTGCCTGATCATTTGACCTCTCTTTTTAGACAGTAATCCTTGCATCTGCAAGAGAGCACTTGTTCTGTACACTGTTTTTTGCTACCTACATATGTTAGGGGTTGATGTGGTGTAAAGAAAATTTGATGGTCCCAGGCTAAAGAAGCTGAATGTCTTGATGTAATAAGACATCAAAATGGTTATCAAGAGTTTGTGAAAGAAAGCTAATTTATTATTATTATTATTATTATTATTATTATTATTATTATTATTATTATTATTATTATTATTATTATTATTATTATTATTATTATCTATGGATATTTGACAGAAATAACAAGTTTTATAAACTGACTAGGATCAAAGTATGCAAAAGTCTTAACCCCACTGACTTGTCTTTTTGCAGACCAGTCATATCAAATTGTATGTACCATCATGAGTCTCTTTTTAATTAAATTTGTGGCTTATGGAGGTGGCACTTTACAGTTTCACACTTTACATTGGGTTTAATTGTTTTTAAAGAACAAGAATTCCCATGCTTTTTTTCACAGTTTATACCCTGGCAATTTAAGACATTTTTTTATCCTAAGAATTGTTAAAAGAACTTTGAAATCTCTTTATTTTGGTGTCTGATTGATTGGTGCAATTAAGGTTATAGAGTTGGATGTTGTGGGTTTAATATCATTTTTGAGAGGCTATTCATGGCAACCAGTGTAACTGGTGGAGGAAGAACCCAGGAAAACCCCAGTAAGAACCACTGGCTCATGGGAAGCTACTGGCAAGCTCTCTCACATTCCCAAATTGGCCAAGCCCAAAACTCAACATTACTTCCTGGACTTAAGTGGTACAATGTACAAAAATGAGCCACTAACTTTTGATTTTACTTTTTATTAAAATAATTGAGTAATACATTCAAAAACAAGTATTGTTTGTTCTAAATTTGTTTTCCCTATTTTATTCATTGCTAAATTTTGTATAATTTGGGCTGGTTCAGATTTTTTTCAAGCCCACGGGAGTAGCCATTTTGGTCAGCAGTTTTATCATATAATACACAGTTTCCAGAGTACAATATGAATGAAATTTCAGATTTAGTACATGAAAACAAAATTACGGTAAGCCAACAAGATATTTTGAAAGTTTTGCATTAAAAAAGTATGACTATGTTGCAGATGGAAGCCATTACAGTCTATTGGAGTAAAATGTATTTGTACAACTGAATGACAGTGGAAAATTGATTATTTGTTAGTACATTCAAAATGTGTTTGCTTTCTTTAATTCAATCTTGTAGGATCAGTGTTCAGATTTGAACAACTTAACTTTGGATGTGGTGGCTTGCTGCCACATCAAATGAAGTTCACAGACCTGATGCTAAGAAATATCTGCATGATATCCCATGGTGTAGATAGGGTCATCATATCTGGAACTTGGGGTAACAATGATAGGGTCACTCTGTCAGAAGTAGGTAATATCTGTAGATTGCCAGGTTGTTTGTTACTGTCATGTTCAACAGTATGGAACTCTCAACAAACTTTGTGATCAATGATCAATTTATCCAGGATTGGGTTCTCTTCATCTTGTGTATTGTTTACCAGCTGTCCAGGCTAAAATTTGCACTGAGTGAACCAGGTGAACTTTCCAGAAATTTCTTAGCCAGACACCTTCCAAACCAATGGGATATTTTCAGATGGAGTTAAGATAGATTTTCAGATTGCTCTAGGCTTAAAAACTATCCTAGTTTTGAATTACAGATAAGGTTTAGATAAAAATCAATAGTTGTCCTTTGCAGTCTTGTACAATAGACTATGTAAAACTTTTAAGGTAGGTTAGAGTATGACTAACTTCTTAAAATTAATATTAAATTGCCAGAAGCACTTTGATCCACCTCCTGTTGGAGCCTCTCCTTGTCTGAGAAACCAGCCTATTTGGATCAACATGTGGCCAGGAAGGAAACAGAATCCAGATGTTGGAAAAGGGGCTTCTGTTGAGAATGCATCTAATGGGCTCAAGTAATGGGCTAATGTGAAGCATGCTGATTGTCAAGAAATACCAAACTTATGTAAATTTTGTGGAGTTCCTTGATAGATTTAATTCTGTACAGATGAATCATTATCAAAAACATAACTTTGCTTCAATATTTTCACTACATCATAAAATTTGATAACCATGCCTCATATACTAACATGCAAGTCAGAACCATCTGCAAACTGAATAGACATGGATCTCCAATTGCATAATGCATTGGCAGATCCTAACTTGATCTGTTAGGATTGATGACCAGAATAAACAACACACACACTCTGATCTTGGAACTCATTTTGCAATGGCATATGCACATTGCTTGATTCAGTTAGATACATGTGAGTGTATGCAGCATTTGTCATTAGCTAACCTAAATAGCATCACTTGTGTATTCTTATTGAATTTGTATACTTTCTTTACAAAGCACACTTCAAATTCATATTTTATATCTGCTTATGAAAATACTTTGCTATGCACAAAAATAAATTTAAGCTCCAAAGATGGTACTAGCATCAATGTACACATAACAGGTGTAAAGTCTTGGAAATGACATCACTCCTGGAATAATTCCATCTAGTCTATTTTTATACCTGGTTTAACCTTGAAAGCTGACTGCTGGTTTTAAGGATTTATAGAGACCAGAATTCAGACTGCTTCCAAAAAGTAATTGCATACCATATAAACTCATTTGCAAACAACAGAGACCTTGATCAGACATCATATAATGCACTGAAACTTAAGGATTTATGTTGTTTGTTCCACTTATTAATCCCAACAAACTGCTTAGTTCCAGATCTGCCATCAAATTGTGTGGTAGCAGAACTGGTATGTGCAGTTTGTAGTTGGATCCCATT